CTTTCGTGTCGGCCGCCGCGCGAGGGTGCCCGCGCTCCCCGTATCGATTCGACGTCGCGGGAAGCCCTCGTCGTTCAACCCCGATCCGCTCCCTCAGTGTGCCGTCGCACGGCCCGCAAGCCGAGAGTTTCCGCGGGAACCCGCGCCCGAAGCCCTCATACGTTGAGGTTATGTTGTTTTTCTTCGTCGTCCGCCGTGGGGCCTTTCCGTGAAGCAATTTGATTGTGTCAATTAGTCGAAGCGAATTTAGTGTTCTCGTGTGGTGTGAATCTGTTTTACTCTCGACTTGCGAATAAGTGGGTTAGTAGACGAGGCATGGTTGAAAGTTCGACGCCCTTAACATCATCGTCGTCCGTCGTGGGGCCTTTCCGTGAAGCAATGGCAATGCCGTTTGATCGTGTCAATTAGTCGAAGCATATTTAAGTGCTTCGTGTGGTGTGAATCTGTTTTACTCTCGTCTTGCGATTAAGTGGGTTAGTAAACGAGGCATGGTTGAAAATTCGACGTCCTTATCATCATGCCCCTATCATAAATTATCATAAATTCCGTAAAGCAATATCAATTTGGTTTGATCGTGTCAATAAGTCGAAGCATATTTAGTGTTTCGTGTGATTTGAATCTCTTTCACTCTCAACTTGGGGACTAAATGGGACGAGGCATGGTTGAAAGTTCAACGTTCTTAACAGTATGTCTCCTCCGGAAATTCCGTAAAGCAATAGCAATGCGGTTCGATCATGTCAATTAGTCGAAGCGAATCCTGCTCGATCGTGTCAATCAGTCGAAGCATACTTGGTGTTTCGTGTGTTCGAATCTGTTTCACTCTCAACTTGGGACTAAGTGGGACGAGGCATGGTTGAAAGTTCAACGTTCTTCGTCCGTCGTGGGGCCTTTCCGTAAAGCAATGGCAATGCCGCTTGATCGTGTCAATTAGTCGAAGCGAATTTAGTGTCCTCGCGTGGTGTGAATTTGTTCTACTCTCGTCTTGCGAGTAAGTGGGTTAGTAGACGAGGCATGGTTGAAAGTTCGACGTCCTTAACAGTATGTCTCCTCCGGAAATTCCGTAAAGCAATAGCAATGCGGTACGATCGTGTCAATAAGTCAAAGCGAATTCAGCTCGATCGTGTCAATCAGTCGAAGCATATCTAGTGTTTCGTGTGATTTGAATCTGTTTCACTCTCAACTTGGGACGAAGTGGGACGAAGCGTGATTGAAAGTTCAACGTTCTTAACATTATGTCTCCTCCGTAAATTCTACAAAGCAATAGCAATGCCCTTCGGTCGTGTCAATTAGTCGAAGCAAATTTGTGTTCTCGTGTGGTGTGAATCTCTTTCACTCTCAACTTGCGATTAAGTGGGTTAGTGGACGAGGCATGGTTGAAAGTTGTACGTCCTTAACGTCTCGTCTCCTCCGTATAGCAATAGAAATGCGGCTCGCTCGCTTTCCGCGTGATGTCAATTTATTTCAATTTCCGACTTGGCAAGTTGAATGAGTCGTAGACTGGGCATACTAGTTCTACGATCTCACCGTTGTGTCGCCTCCGTAAAGCAATAGCAATGCGGTGCTGTCGTGTCAATTAGTCAAGTGCTCGAATCTGTTTCCGTATGTTGTGAATATATCTCGCAAGCCCGATGGGGCAGAAGCTCTACGTCCTCGTTGTTGTGTCTCCTCCGTAAACCGGTTCGATCGTGCCAATTAGCTAGTTGAGCGCTCGAAACGGAGTTAGATTTTCAGTATGATGTGAATTTATCCTACTTTTCTATTTTTAAATTCTGTAGGTCAGTAAGCCAGGCACGTACCGAGATAAATATTTCAATTTTTGGTTTACTTTCGGTCAATATGGGAAGTGGAACATAATCGAACCTAATGTTTAGGTTGATTTCAGTACGGACTCTGTCTTACTTGGCACGTAAAAGAATGGGAAGATAACGGGGTAGCCGAGAATCAACCGGAATACTCGAGTCATTTCGTGTTCCACTTCCGATATTAACCGAATCTTTGGCTATATTTTTCTAAATTTGTACGAAATCAAAAAACCCAAAGCGCTACGGTGAGCCGTTAAACACAACGCTCTCGTTTCTGTGTCTTCTCCGTCAAGCAGCTCAGTTACCAGGAATATGACTCCAGTATTTCGCCCTAGAAAATCAGCTCACTGACCAGAAATATGACTCCTGTATTTCGTCCTTTGTGTCTTCTCCGTAAAGCAGCTCACTGACCAGGAATATGAATCCTGTATTTCGCCCGAGAAAATCAGCTCACTGACTAGAAATATGACTTCTGTATTTCGTCCTCAATTCTGATCATTGGCTTAGTCTACGACCATGCTATTCAATTCACATTTCCTTGAGTGCGGTTTCTTCGTTCCGTGTATTGCAACGAGTCTCTTCGTACCGTGTATTCCAACGAGCCTCGACCGGAAGTTTCAGGGAGTGAAGTCTCAGAATGCGCAGAACTCATCATGAATCTCCACGTCAGGATCACCAGCTAGGTGACTCAGTATGTAGAGGATGACGTCTTATACCGACCCGGAGTCTGTCGGAGGGTCACCCAAAAAAGGTACAGCATTTTTTTTTAATTTACTCCGCGGATTCCCCCGAATCAACGAAAGATTCATCTGTATAATGAGGCATGCCATTAGAAACCGGAATGGACCTCTAGGCGAACAGGGTGACTAAAAGTTCGGAAATAATACTGATTTTTTAAGGGCGGTCCAAAATTACTGAAAAAGCGCGGAAATTCCGCCCAAAGGTCCGGCATTTTTTTCAGTTTTTTGTCATTTTTGTCGCAATTTAAAATTTTTGAAATTTTTCTGATTTCGTCAAATGGAGGTACTGAAAAAGCACGGAATTTTTCTGTTGGAGGTGGTACTGAATTTATCGAGAATGTACTGTAAAAGCACTGTAAAAGCACTTATTTTTGACCAGCCTGTTTTAGTAGACACCCTGGCGAGGTGCAAACGCAATTCTCCATGTGAGTCGAAATGCGCCGAGAATCGTTCCTTTCCCTACCTCTATCGTTCAAAGTGTTAACAATTTGTTATAGCTGAGTCAAATCGTCGAGATTGAGGTCGCCGGATTTTCATATAGCAGGGATTTTCATTGTAAAGTTAATTTAGGGTGCGATTTGACTCACGTAGGCTATTGTGTTTTCATGAGCAGGATGTTTGAATTCACGCGTCATGAAACATCAAATATCTTAGTTGGGAATAAATTTCAGCAATTTTCGTTGCGCAAATCGTGTTCCACGTAAAATTTTGGTCGGGGGACATGTATCAGAAAGCTCAACTGTGTACCTTATTCAGTGGTACATAGTCCATATCATCCAACCAATTGGGGTAGTACTACGAGTTTATGGGATAATCCCTTAAACTTTTTATCCGTGTGATTTGTGTTTCTACTGCAAAATCTCACGTAAAATACGACTTACGCACCAAAAGTTACTGAAATCAACTTCTAACTAAGATATTCAAGTTTATATTCAGCGCTGGTTACGAAAAATTCGATTTCTCACTCACGAGATAGAAAAGAATACTAAAACTAAATCGCGCTTCGGCACGCTACTCAATGGGCGCGCCTAACGGGTGCCATCCGAACCCAAACCGTTAACTCCCCTGAATAATTTTAATTGATATTTATGATGACCACAAAGTGTACTTTATGAAAAGGCCGAACCTATCCGGGGCTCCCAAAAATAAAATCACTATAAACTTAGCAAACTTCTGCTTCTTTCTTTCTATCTTTCTTTTTCGTCTGGAACTTCTGGAACTTCTTGCTTCTTACATGTAGTCAGTATACAGACTCCGTTTTATTTGGTACGAAAAACAAGCTCCTTCGAGTGCAAGCTCGTATATCAATCTCCAGATTTGCATGTGCATTAATATCCTGTTATCGGCTCCTCGTGAGGATTATCGTTGTTTTCCAACACGTACTTACATATCATAAAACTTTAAAATTACGTTAAGTTTGAGTACCAATACGCAAGTCAATACACACAATATTACACGTATATCAGGACAGTCAATATTTCTCACACACACCGACGATGCAGTGAGGCCTCGTCCCCTGGTCATTTCGATTCACCTTTAGGTAGAGCTTGTACTATGCGTACAAACCTTTAAGGTTTAAGGTGCCTTAAGGCAAAGATAATGGTAAAGCTGATGGTAAAGGTAATGGAATGATTGAACTTGCTGAATCCTTCGAGACAGAATGCATCTTGAGCAAATTTCTAGCATATCTGCTGACACTGGACAACAAATACCCGCAGAGAATCGATCCGCTGCCTCACCCAACGATGCTTCAATATGGCATTGCTCCAAAAATCGTTGAAAATATTGAACCCGCCGAGGAGTAATGCCGAACTACCGCGGCCATAATTCATAAGCAATAAAATAGCCAGGAAACTAGGCCAACCTTGTTTTGCCATGGGCTCTTTCGCTTGTAAGAATCCAGACTTTCCAGTGTGAGAGGTAATAACAAGATCCCACTTCTGACTGCTGTTACGCAGTGGTGGCGATCGGAAATAAATAACACTCGTAGTTCATTTTTCATTTTCAAATGAACTAACGAATAAAAACTGGGTGAATTGCCCGACTGTTTCTAATAAGAGAGTTTTAACGTCGGCCAGTTTCTGGGTATACGATTTTTCTCGCACTGCTTCAACCAGGTCCATGCCATTTCAACCGGCTTGAAATGGCGTGAGGTTAGCAACAAGCATGATGGTCGTTTCACTGAACCACTGCTCAGGAGCAAGCGTCATAAGATCTTTTTTGAGAAAATTGCCGCCCTCAATGCTGGTCAAAATCTGAATCGGAAATTTTTCGCTGTCCCATAATTAATTTACTATGGCACTAGTCCAAAATTTAGAATGATGTTGTGGAAATCTTCCTGCAAGTGACTTAACGATTGTCGTCCACTGGAAAAAAAACTCATTGGATGAAGATTTAATGTGTTTTTTGCGCTGAATTCACCGCGAACTGTACCAAAATCATCACAAAATTTAGGTTGATTTGCGTGATTGATTGTGTTGACTTTTCCTACACTGGAAAGGACTTAGACAACGGAGGGAATAGAATCGATCGACAAAATACAACCGACTCACATGTTTGTCGATCGGTTCACGTTTTGGCTCTTCGATCGATTCATGTCGATCGAATCGACAGGGGTGTGTTTAAATTTGCCATCGATCGATTCACGTCGAATAATTTTCGTATTCATTTTTCGACCGATGCGTCGATCGAATCGAAACCGGTTTTGTAATGATTTGTTTATCGATTCACGTCGATCAATTCGTGTTTCCATGTTTCGATCGATTCATGTCGACTGAATCCATACCCTTTAAGACAACCACGCAACACTGGAAAAAAAACACATTGGATCTAGTTTCCAGACTCTTAAAATCATCGACAAGAAAAAATACTCTTGATTCAATCAGATTTAAGCTTAATTCAAGAACCAGGCCTCTTAATTTGAGCGGATTTCCTTTCGATTTAAGCTTAAATCTGATTGAATCAAGAGTCCTTTTTCTTGTCAATGTTTTCAAGAGTCTGGACTCTAGATCCAATGTGTTTTTTTTTTTTTTTCCTTTTTTTTTCCAGTGTCGGATGCAATCCTCTACTAATTTGGATCTGTCCTTTTGCCTTCTCGGACAAACCATTAAGCAATGCTCCCTACATGTCGGCCCTCCTTTTTGCCCTCCGAATCGCAGCTCGTCGAGTCATCGTCAGAAACCGGAGCGAATACTCCGACATGACGTCTGATTCGACGATTCGTGGCCGCGTTAGCGCAGCTGAGCAAACACGCGGTAACCGAGATTTGCGGTTTGAATTCCGCAGGCAGCAGTCAGAAAGCTCAGCTCAACGCGGAAATGAGCGATCTCGGCCGCCATCGAAAGCTCATCGAATTTTCATCTGCTTATTTATGTTACACGCAGGTGGTACTGTGGATCGCAGTGGCGTGGCGTGCTTTGCGATTCATCGATTGATCTGTCATTCAAACCTATGAAAAAGGATCGATATACAGGGCGTTCGCAACGAACACCCTAATAATCGATTCTTTACCACAGCTTCGAATGGGGAAATATCGATAATCCATCATTCACGCCACGCCACCGGTGGATCGGTTCTAAATAGCGGCGTGGCATGCTCTGCGATGTACAGATTGATCTGCCGTTTGAACCTATGGAAAAGGATCTATAGACGGCGTTCGCAACACTGGAAAAAAAAAACACATTGGATCTAGAGTCCAGTCTCTTGAAAACATTGACAAGATAAAGGATTCTTGATTCAATCAGATTTAAGCTTAAATTAAAAGGAAATCCGCTGAAATTAAGAGGCTTGATTCTCGATTTAAGCTTAAATCCGATTGAATCAAGAGTAATTTTTCTTGTCGATGTTTTTAAGAGTCTGGACTCTAGATCCAATTAGGTTTTTTTCCAGTGAAGGAACACCTTCATAATCGATTTTTTACCATAGCTTCAAATTGGGAAAAATCCTTAGTCGATCATTCACACCTCGTCACTTAATGGATCTGCTTTCAATTCAATTCCAATTTATTTTCGTTTTAGTACAAATAGCTGAGTCAGACTGGCCAAAAGGCCAATTTGCCATCGGCAGATACGCCCCCCTGACTCATCAAAGACGCGCCCCTCTGTCAGATGTAGCAAAATAAGATGAATAAGATACAAAACCGATTGCGGTGAACGCACGTGTCGTAAGACGGGATGTTTATTAAATTTAAAACAAGAAGAAAAAATCCAACATGAGTATGTTGGAAAAGCGTGCCGAATAACTAAAATGTTGGACAAATACCTCTTATTTTCACGTCTTTGCTTTTTGCATCAATTGGTACTTTTTGCTAAATTTGGGAGAAAATATTGATTCATGAACGTTGAATGTAAATTAATTTTAAAGATTCCGTCCAATTATCTTGATTTTAAGCTGATATGCGGCATTTGCGCACGACCGTGAGTTGGGCGAACTGCCGTGCATCGAAATCGCGTTCAGTTAATCTCTTTGGATTTCGAACTGTAACTTCTCTCCTATTCGGCCGATTTGTACAAATGAGGTCTCTTTTTATTTGTACTTCAACGGAAAGTAAGGAAAAACTCGCTAAATAGACGGAAAACAATTTTTGAGAAAATTTGGTGGATCCTGGCATCACGGTGAATGGTTAATCGGTTAATCACCTCGCCGTCTTTTATTGCCTTGCTCGAAACCGGACACCCAAAGCTATATGGCGAGATAACTGTAGTGGTTTAAGTGGATTTCGGCAGGGGCCATGGTTAGTACATAGTATAATGAGTCACGAGGCTCATCACAGATTGCACTTACAGTGAAAGACGCTCATTGGCTATAGAGTTTTGGCGGGAAAGAAGGTTCTAGAGTTGAGTCCTCCGAGCGTAAGAGAGCTCCTATGAGGTTTCTGTCAAATTGAATAATACGGTTTTGACAGAAAAATGTTCTCAGGGGTTTCCAATTAGCAGTTCATTAGATTTTTTGGTAAAAGATCATCAGGGCTTGACAGTGTAATGGTTCAAAGACAAAGAAACGGGTGCGAGGA